GTGTTTTGTGCAGAAACAAACACACGTTTTGAAGAGCCGAATACAGAGACCTAGTGCACCGATATTCCGCAGGTTTTGAATTTGAATTCAGAGTTGTCCTTCTAGAACAGTTGCTGTCCAAGGCTATAGAACCTAGTCTGTACTGCTACTTACCCATAGCTATTGTCGGTGAGAAGAAGAGGATTCTTACTTTTCCTTTACATTGATTTCAAAGTTCTTTGTAATATACCTGCTGTAATTTTGAATACAATTTTTGGCTATTTCTTTAAGACATTGGCTACAAGGTATCTATTTAATCAGTCTATCGGATTTTTTTTCCAATTATTCCGAAGGCTCCATATACAACTAGAATTACTGATATCCTTATACGCCTCGTTTCTGAGATTTCCGCTTCAAGGTTCCAGTTGTGAGTGGCGTCCAAGTCTTGATTGAGAATAAGTTTTGATAGACACATTGAAGAGACACCTGGTAGTCTGCCACTTAAAGAATACAAAAATTGTTATACTATTTACATTTTTCGGACTATTGTCCTCATCTTTGTCGCAATATTTATTACAACGTATCGGCCGTTGTACGCTCCGGCCTTCTTCAGGTGAAAAGTATATTTATTCATTATTTGGAAATAAAATAAATTAAAATTGTGTCTATATTTCTGAGATGAGGTATTATGTAAACTATTATGGAGTCGCAAGGGAGTTCCACAAAGAAGTACAAGAGGAGAAAGTGTTAACATAAAACATCTACACTATGTAAATTATTGGGACTACTGTCCACATCTTTGTCTCCATATTTATTACAACGTTTCGGCTGCTGTACGCTCCGGCCTTCTTCAGGTGGTTGGAATGTCCAACTGAACCCTTTATTTCGCTCAGTGGGGTAGACTGTTCTAGTTACACATGCCTTGTTTAATGGAAGTCAGATATCAGTTATCTCCTGTTAATTTCACTCGGAAAGTTCTCCACTGCCTTAACCGGGTATTGAACTCACACATTTTGGGTACTGTCACTGGATCTAGCCAACGCCTTTATCCACTATGCCACCTGAATAAGACCGGAGCGTACAACGGCCGAAACGTTGTAACAAATATGGCGACAAAGATGAGAACAATAGTCCGAATAATTTAAATAATGTACATAATACCTCATTTCAGAAATATAGACAGATACAAAAAATTGTTCTCACAAGTACAACAAGTACAAATCTATGGAGAATGTGTGCGTGAACAGGTTGTTTTATTTTTATTTCTACATTATAGTAAAAATTTCATGATGTCATTTCTTATCTTAGGTCACTTGTTGGAACCCGGACTATAAAAGTTTGCCATTGAAGTCCGGCGATCATGTAGAATTTTCTCCATTTCAAATAAAACTGTCATCTAGCCTGGAACTAAAAAAGTTCAGTGAACCAAGATGTTTGAACCATAACAAATCACTTAACTTTATTTTTGCCACATATTCATTATAATCACAAAACACATTAAAATTTATTTATACACGATGAAAGTCTATTTATTAAAAAATATTCACTAGACGTCTCATTAGATGACCCCCTGGGGCAAAGGCGTCTCTTCTGTAGCTTCTGACTAAAACACGATAAACATGCTTAGAGGTCACTAATGTGTCTTCATAAACAAAATATTAATCAGACATCCCAAGCAAATTAAATTGTTAATGATAAATTATTGTCTTAATTAAAGAAGTTCTAGACATATTTTCTTGAGAGAAAAGCTATTTTACCCGCGAGCGTTTCTTTATCGGATTTTTTGGTAAAAACAATAAAAGGAAAGAAATCTGCCTAAAAGAAGAAATATTAATTTTTATTCATATCGTTCGTTTACAATCAATATCTGCACATATCCTTTAAGTTATCTATCTATTTCTATATATCTTTCTATATAACTGACTGATTAGTGAAAGTCAATGTTCACATACTATTTCTTCTTCTTTCTCTCTCTCTCTCTATATATATATATATATATATATATATATATATATATATATATATATATATATATATATATATGCTGATACACAGTATAACATTGCATTTAACACGCGTTTAACCGTTTCCTTTGGCTTCTTCAATTTAAAAGATACATAAATTTAAACTGAATACGACAAAGAGAATATAAAATTTTCCGTGGAAACGCGACTTTGATGAAAAATTACGTTTTGTCTCATCATTTTTCCTTTAATTTCAGATACTATTACACACACACAATATATATATATATATATATATATATATATATATATATATATATATATATATATATATATATATTCAGATATCTTTAAAAGGACGGCAGACATAAAGACTTTATCAAGAAGATTTTATCAAGGCACATTTTCCTTGATAATGTCTCTCAGAGGACGAAAAAGCTACAGGTAAGGTAAGTTTTAGTTTTGTCTTTTTCATATACACATATTATGTTAAAGTATTGATCAAACCGACACAATGCCTGCCAAGTAATCGCAGAAAATTACAAACAAAAATCAAATGAAAAACCAATAAAAAGTTAAGAAATGCACCGATAAAATGGTAAAAAAGAAATATATAATGAGAAAAAAGAGACTAAAAGAAAGATACCACTCCAAAAATAATAGACAATGCTCAAATTCTTAATGCATTTGCAGTCTCCTTTTGGTTTGGTTTTATTCCAGAAATGTTAAACCCTGGCAATATAAGGAGAAGATGGCTGTTCCCAAAAAACAAAAACAAAAAAAAAACAAAACAAAAACGAAACAGAATACAACGTGTCTTTTTTGTCATTGACTTCCGTAACATAGTTATTTTTTTTAAATTTGAACTGAAGAAGCCAAGGAGAATATAAGTTGTCACGGGGAAACACGTCTTTGATAAAAATTTAACACTTTGTCACATCATCTTCAATTTTGATTCGGATAGTATTACTTAAACACAAATACACACATCATATATATATATATATATATATATATATATATATATATATATATATATATATATATATATATTGCCTTTAGGATCGTCTTAATAAAAAAAATTGAAATCTGAAGTCCATGCTATTATTAAGGAGTCCCGCAATTCTTCAAGTTGTCTGCACATTGATAATCCGAATATTACTTTTAAGAACGTCTAAAATACATTCAATGGGATTACGAACCGGTGCCTTCGTTGTCTACTTCAACAAAGCAAACTCACTGGTGTTTTCCAAGAACCAGTTTGTGACACAGAGCATTGTCCTACTGAACTCGTCAACCGGTAGATAAATGCATTGTAGTCATAATTTGAGGCACGTAATCAATCACAATACCTATGTAATATGCTGCTTTTAACCGATCTAGTATTCATACTAGTGATACCAAGATACGACAAGAAAATATTCCGCATACGTTTACGCCATCACGATAACATTGAATGTTTGATACAAGCTAGTTTGGCTCAGTATGCTGTCAACGCCATAGTCTGGAGCAACTTTCTGAATTAATCAGATGAATTCAAGGCGCATCAGACCTGGCCACGTCTTACGAATTTTGTCCAATATTTCATATACTTATCTGACAATATTGTGGTCTTATGTATTTTGTCATAACTGCTTCAGGATACTTATTGTGCGTTCAGAGTTGCTCCTATGTATCTTGTAAACAGTGCTTATATGAGCTGCTTTTGCCTGTCTGTCAGCTTGAATTGGTTTGGTCAAAGTACTTATTTCATCAAAAAGGGATACATCGATGGCAGCGATTTTCTTCTTTTCCTATTTACCGTAAATCCTAGAGACGTTTGTGACTGCAAAGTAGATCAGTAGATTTTAAAATGCTCGTGCCTAATGATTTGTCGCCAAGACCATGCCGCGTCCATAATCAATCAAACTGCCTTTATTTTGATTTAGGACATCCAGCTGTGATCACATTGACCGGCCGATGGCATCTGATCTATTAATTTAAAAATGGAAATCTTTGAATGATCATTTACTTGCGATTGCTTGGCATGAAAATAAACGAAAATCTGAATGTGTCGTTTAGAGCCGCAGTAGGAATAAATGGTTTTATAATTACCTGGAGCTCTTTTGATATATAGAAAAAAGTGAATATATTGTATACACCAAATACATCAGAGTAGGTATTTTATTTTAAAATTCGCTATAAGGAAAACGAAAAAAAATGTAATATAATAAGAATGTATTGGAGATTCCATCGGAATGATTTAATAGTTAGAGTCATTTATCTGGACATTCTGCAAGTGTTTTTCTCATTATTTACATTATTCGGACTATTGTCCTCATCTTTGTCACCATATTGATTACAACGTTTCGGCCGTTGTACGCTCCGGCCTTGTTCAGGTGGTTGGAATGTTGAACTAAACCCTTTATTTCGCTCACTGGAGTAGACTGTTCTAGTTCCACGTGACATGTTTGGTGGATGTCAGTTATCAGTTATCTCCTGTTAATTTCCCTCTGAAAGTTCTCCACTGCCTTAACCGGAAATATAGACAGACACTGTTTTCTCATATATATATATATATATATATATATATATATATATATATAATTATACAATTGGTATATACAGAATAAATTTCAATAACCAAAAAATACTATTTTTTTCATGAGTGCTCAATACAAAGTAAAGCAAATATAATTTATTCGAAAATTATAAAATCTCTACAAAAATAGCCATTTTACTTCAACACTTGATTGTTCAAGACCATCATGAATAAGGCATCAGAAGTGTTAAAACGAAATGGCTATTTTTGTAGTGATTTTATAACATATTTATGTTATAATTTTCGAATAAATTACATATATATATATATATATATGTGTGTGTGTGTGTGTGTGTGTGTGTGTGTGTGTGTGTGTGTGTGTGTGTGTGTGTAAGGCACTCTTAACCGTGGATGTCCGTCTACCAGGCCGGTTCAGCTAACCAATCCTTGTTGCAGGCAGATTTGTGTCGGGTCAACACTCAAAAAGCCCACCTGTGGTTTATACTGCAATTATGCTAAGTAGACGTTCGTTACAGTTACAGAGAGAGAGAGAGAGAGAGAGAGAGAGAGAGAGAGAGATAGAGAGAGAGATAGCGAATTATCTAGCGTGGTCAAGAGTTTGGACAAGTCCAGCACGCTGAAAACCTTGGTAACGATATCTTGTTACTTCATGCAAGCACAGGCAGCGATGGCTTCCAATATCACTCACAAGGATTGGATCAACTCGCGGTATAGTTTGTAAGAATTTTCCAAATGCACCACATGCTGGGTTCACCACCACAAAACTGATAACTAATAACAAGAAATTACCTTCCTGACATCGACTCATGTTCAGAAATCGTACGTTCGAACCACTTGGTCATATATATATATATATATATATATATATATATATATATATATATAACTAAGATACAAAGACAAGCTGAAAAGCAAATTGTCAGCAGTCAATATACTACATAACACCCTTTGAGCGCTTAGCTTTGGAGAGGGTAGACTAGAGATCAACGTGTTTTAGTGGACTCAGCAATTTTCCATCTGCTTGGCTGAATCATATATTTTACTACATCTGTATGTTCTCTCATTTGTATATATATATATATATATATATATATATATATATATATATATATATATATATATATATATATATATATATATATATATATATATATATATATATATATATATATATATATGTGTGTGTGTGTGTGTTTTTGTGTGTGTGTGTGTGTGTATTCATTAAAGACATTTTTATGTTTAACGTTGTTTTATAGATACAAGTATTTAAGTAAATGCTCGGTAATTCGTTCGGTAAACATGGTCGAATTTACTGCTTATAAACTTCAATCTTCCATGAATCTCGTCTACCGAACGATTCTTTGTGGCCGATTGGTAAGGCACGTCAGCGTAAATGACGGTTCCGTATAGGATACAGGTTCGAATCCTGTCAAAGAACGAATATTTTCTATGAAAATTTCTCGGACATTCAGGCCGGTAAATGTTATTTAATACTGTTTATCATAAACAGAGCATTTACTTAAATACTTGTATCTATAAAAAACAACGTTAAACATAAAAATGTCTTTAATGAATAAATTGTCGGACCTTGTCCATTTCTTAATACATGACGTCATTTGTTTACATTTGATACGCCAGAGCAGTTATGAATGTACGAGATTCATGGAAGATTGAAGTTTATAAGCAGTAAATTCGACCTTGTCTACCGAACGATTCTTTGTGGCCGATTGGTAAGGCACGTCAGCGTAAATGACGGTTCCGTATAGGATACAGGTTCGAATTCTGTCAAAGAACGAATATTTTCTATGAAAATTTCTCGGACATTCAGGCCGGTAAATGTTATTTAATACCGTTTATCATAAACAGAGCATTTACTTAAATACTTGTATCTATAAAAAACAACGTTAAACATAAAAATGTTTTTAATGAATAAATTGTCGGACCTTGTCCATTTCTTAATACATATATGTGTGTGTGCGTATGTGTGTGTGTGTGTTTGAATCATTTACTTTGTATTTACAACAATATAGTTTTACTACAATTACAATTTAATTCTAAATATTTTATACGCCAGCCGTTATATAAAAATAGTTATTTGGGCACCTCGAGGTAGTGTAATGGTTAGCAAGCTTGTCTCGCTAGAACAGTTACGACTGAATAGTGAGTTAGATTCTCACTGGGTGCCCCATACTTTCGGCCTTGTGCCACATCTAAGCTAAGCTTAGTAAGTCACTTGGGCACCTCGACGTGGTGTAATGGTTAGGAAGCTTGTCTTGCTAGGTCAATTACGACTGAGTAGTGAGTTCGATCCTCACTGGGTACCCCATAATTTTGGCCTTGTGCCACATCTAAGCTGGGCTTAGAAAATCGCTATAAAATTTGTTATTATTCCCAAGAGAATATTAATCTTTGTCATGAATTTATTCCAAAAACTGATAACGGTGGGTAATGAGTTGAGTTATATTACATTAACACCACGGATTATGAATAACTTAGTTACAAATTCGAAGATTTTCAAATATGCTTTTAGTAATATGGATTGGTGGCAATATTTGTTAATCGAATATTGATCTTCTGTTACAAAGATATATATATATATATATATATATATATATATATATATATATATATATCACCTACATTATTTTATAGCTCTTTTAGCCTGACTAATAATTTCTGGTCTAGCTTTATTTTCTCTGTCTTATCACAAATTCTAACCACTATCGACATAGAGCCTTTTTATATATTGAATGTATACCTTATTTGGATTCCAGGTTTTTTCTTTAATTTTTGGAACATTCTATATGTTTTAAAGATTTTTTTCTCCTTTTGATGTGTGCCCAAGAACAAGACTTATTTCGAATATTTGACTCGGTCTGATCTTGCAATTGCTGATTTATATTTTATCATCGTCTCATATTACAGAGTAGAAATTCTAGACGTATCCCCCTTTTCTTTTTCTCAGCGGTTAGAGTGCGTTTAGAAGCAATATTACTAATAATGTTATATGTACGCCGAAGAAGAATATGAACAGGTACACGCATACACATAAAATATCAGACACTAGGTGGATTATGTTACGACTGAAAGGCTTTTTGCTTGCAAGAGAGACTGCAGCTGCGTTGGATGAAGAACATGATCGAAATATGCAGGCAATAAAAGCATCAGATGGATTAGGAATAAAAAAATAAGAAATTAGAAAATATATTCTAAAGAAGAAGAAAAATCATTGGTATTCTGAAAGAAGCGTAATACAGAAGTGCAAAGAAGAGAAGAGGTACGAGTGAAAGTTATAGGAAGCTGTGGGAAATAACATATATATATATATATATATATATAGATAGATAGATAGATAGATAGATATGCATTTATATATATATATATATATATATAAATAGGTGGTGTAAGAGAGGGGGAATAATAAAGGTTGAAGGGCAAATGTAATGACGAGAATGGAGGTCGTAAATTGATATAGGAAAAAGAGAAAAATGGCATAAAGAGGAAGACAATGAATAGATGGAAAATACAGAGTAAACCGAAGAAGAAAAAAATGAAAGAAAGAAAGATAGAACAAAAAGGAAAAGTAATGGAAAAAAGAATGAAAAAATGCAAACTGAATATATTTAAAGAAATATTATAAAAATAGGAAAATACATGGAACGGAAAATTAAAAAAAAAAAAAGAAATGCAAAAGAACGTAAAAAAAACAAAAAAAATAAACGGCGAAAATAAAAAGAAAAGGAAATTCAGTAAAATAGAAACTGAAATTTGATAAAAAAAAAAAAAGAAAAAGAGAAAGAATGGAAGAAAAAGAAGGAAATTGAGGATTTATCCGAAGAAAATATTAAAAAGATTAAATTTGATTAAAGAGGTACTAAGAAATCGAGGATATTAAGAAAAAAAATATGAATGAATGAACGCCGGGAAATAAAAAAAGAGAGAAAGAAAGAATAAAACAAAAAAGAAAGAAAGAAAGAAAGAAAGAAAGAAAGAAAGAAAGAAAGAAAGTGAAAAAGATAGTGAAAAAGAATGAAAGGCCGAGGACGAATGCGTTGCTTAGGCGAACAACATAAGAAAGAATAAAGGCAAAATAGAAAAAAAATTATATAAAACTCACATTTAATTCTTTAAAAATGATTAAGATTACAAAATGAATTCACGTTGACTGTTTAGCAGATAAATAATACAAGGAATAAACGAAATCAGAAGGTATGATGAATAGTGATACATATCATTGACATTTTCATGATTTAAGTTAAAAGGTTTTAAGAAAAAGTTGCGAGGGACAAATACAATTACTACGAATGAAAAAGAAGATGGATGTAGGCAAAAAGCCAAATGATTAAGTTTAATATTAAGTCAGTATAAACCGCATGAGCTTTTTCAATGTAAACCGAAAATTACGAACGAACGAATTCTTGGATTGGAAGAGGAAGAAATATCAGGAATCAGCAAGCAATAATTTATCAGATGCAACCAAATAATACTAATAGTCGTCGTCGTCATCACCATCATCATATTCAGTAGCAGCAGAGATTAAAAACTGAAAATTTAAAAACTAAAGAGAAAAGAAAAAGGGAGTAGCGCTAACATGTATTCAGACACGCATGCGTATTTGAGTGTAGGCATGATGACGTATCATTTACTCACAAGATTCTAAAACTTCCGGTTTGGAATCACATGTCATATCCGTGTTTAAGAACTGTTTTCAATCAGCCAGTACTCCTTGTATATTATTTTTATTTATTTATTTATTTTTATTAATGTTCTGGTTTTTATTTCACTAGCTAGTGTGTTTCTTTTTGCCATGTTTTCTAATTTATTTACTATTCTCTGATTTGTTGATGTTATGCATTACTTTTTTGTAATTCTATAAAACTGTGATATATTTTTAAATATTCGTATCGCTATTTGGAAACCTTGAATGCTTAAATATTGATTTTGTTGAATATTTCATGTTATTTGAATAAAATAAATAAATATCTGCTCAAAGAAGTCAGGTTTCACAGTGGATGACGTGGGGCAAGAATTGCAAACATGGAAAATGCTTTCTGGAGCCGGAAAAGAAATAAAAGGTAAACGAATTGATAGAAAACTGAAACTAAAACTTAACAAGGCAAATGAACAAAGAAAAACGGAAAAATAATGTAAAAAATGACGAAGTAAATAATACAGCAAATAAAAGATTAAACGCAATGAAAAAATAAATGACTTTGTATAAGACGCGAAAGCAGTAACACAAAAATAGGACAAGGACACACGTGACTGCTTTTTATCATTTCATCCTAATCAAGTCCATGAAGACTCTAAGAAAAAAAAGGGGATAGTGAGAGTAAAGGAAACTGAGAAATCCTTACTGAGGAGAAAGGACAAAAAAGAACAGGATTCAAGGAGACAGAAGATGACAATTGATGTTGAAGTGACATTTCCACTGAAAGAAAGTCGAAAATGATTTCCAAAAGATAAGCAGAGTATTAAGAGACAGAAAATTTCGTTAGATAACAAAGAAAAAAATGTACTGAAATATTACATGTTATCTGCACCCACCTATATGGCAGTGGAAGCTGGAAAATCTCACATTTGCAGAAGAGACTTCAAGCAACATAAATTTGGTTCAACAGAAGGATGATGAGGATAACATGAACGGTTTATGTGAGCAAAGACGAAGTTTTAAAGAAAATGGAAGCAAAAAAGAAATGTATACATAATATATGGAAAAGACCGTTCAAATTTCTATGGTACATAATGAAAAAGGGGTCTTGAAAAATCTGATATCCACAGTACAGATTGAAGGCAAGACGGAGAGAGAAAAATAAAGCATAATATATACATATACTTATCATGTGTATGCATGTTTTTTTTTTTATATAGGAATAAAAATACACGAAGGCTATTAGATATATGTCTATATCTCTGAAATGAGGTACCATGATTACTTGCATTATTTACATTATTCGCACTCTTATCCTCATCTTCATTGCCATACTCACCGCTGTAGACTCCGACCTTCTTCAGGTGATTGGAATTTCGAACCGAACCTTTTATTTCGTCCACGAGGGTAGACTGTTCTAGCTTCATATGTCATGCCTCTCAAGGACACATGGCCCGGTTGATAAAGATGATAGATAGATCCAGTGACTAAATCTAAAGAATTGTGAGTTCAATTCCAGGCCACAGAAGTGGTGAGCCCAAACTTGAAGGATTGAGTTAAAGGGAAATAACTAAGATAGTCGGAAGAGGCATGGCATGTGGAACTAGAACAATCTGCCCCGATGGACGAAATGAAGGGTTCGGTTCGAAATTCCAATCACCTGAAGAAGGTCTGAACGTACAGCGGCCGAAGTGTTGTGGATATAGCTATGGCAATAAGGATAAGAGTCCGAATAATGTCAATAATGCAGGTGAGTGGATGTTTTCAGGGAGTGATCTATGTCAATAATAGAGCAACAGTAATGAAGATAAGAAAATTTTCGAAAGACTTATCTTGCTAGAGATTTAACATGTTGCAGAAAGACCCCTCGTCAGAATCTGATAACTCTTTTAAATTATCTGCTCATTCAGTAGTTTTATTGGGCCTTGACGATCTTTCTCGTCGACAACCGTACTATTTCTGAACAAAGACGGATGAGGGCCGACTTGATGCAGAGACACTAAAGTTAGAATAATGTTAAACATTTCTTTGTGAATAAATATAAGTGAAAATTAGCTAACAGCAATAACTAATCGGTCATAAGTTAAGAAGCTACCGAAATTAACTCAAAAGAAACAATAATCCAATAAAATTGGATGTGATTCTAAATTTTATTAAAATTCTCAGAATCTACAATATGTTACGTTCACGCCAAAAAAAGAACGATGTTGCAAAGGTCAAAATGAATATCAAATTCACGTGGCATTACGAAAATCCACAGCTTAAAATGGAAAACAATTAGAACAATGAAAATATCACCAAATGAAAGTTGAAATTCGTTTGATTTTCCTTATTCATGACTGAAAACAAACCAAAGCATACATAACATATGTCAATTGATCCTATATATGTAGTCTATGACTAAGTATGTCGGTTGATCGTATAAAAGTAGTCCAGGACTAAGAAACAATTTCCTTGTATGTTATTTTCAACAAAATTATATATGACCCAGTAGATAAAAGCGTTGGTTGAATCCAGTAACTAGGCCAAAAGAGATGTGAGTTCAATAACTGGCCACTGAAGCGGTAAACCAAAATTTGAAGAGTCGAGTTAAAGGGAGATAACGGAGACATTAGAAAGAGGCATAGTACGTGAAACTAGAATAATCTACCCCGGTGGACTCAAGAAAGGATTCAGTTCGAAATTCACCTGAAGAAGGCTGTAGCGTACAATGGCGGAAACCTCGTGAGTATAGCAATAAAGATAAGGACAACAGCCCGTATAAAGTAAATAATATTCAAATATTTGGAACTATCAAAATCTTATTCACGCTGATGTCGGCAATGATACTGATCATGTTGCTGGAGATTTATAGGAGATTTATAGGAGATTTGCTGCCATTTAATTTCGACAGATAACCACAAGAAATCTTCTATGAACATGAAAATGTATAAAGTATAAATAATAATATAAAACCGAAGTTAATTGGGGACGGTGGGCAACCAACAAATTCGATTGTATAATTCTGCTACTTGGAGTGTCTAATAATGATAGACAGTATTGAATTGTGATGAAATCGATTCGACGCTTTTCGGGATGTGCGTAATACAGAATCTCAATTACGTTGCTTAGTGCAGTAAAGTGAATTCAAGCAAAGCCTACCCGAAATAATCGATCATCGATTAGTAACACCCTCCAAGTTATATTCGTTCTCTATCTCTTCCTTATTTTACCTTAATAAAAATTTTTCACTCTTATTATTATTATTATTATTATTATTATTATTTTGTTTCTTTTAATTTGAGATTTGAATGCTTTTGTTGGTGCGTTTACGGCTGCTGCTGCTTCTGGATAAGATAATGATTGCAAAAATGGTGATTGTGGGAACTGGCTGGGTCCCGAAGGCAGCGGTGGTGTCTGATAATAGAGATGGCTGTTAGGATGTCTTTTGTTAGTCTGTCAGCATCTGGATCGAAGTTTTGATTTTTTTCAACATTCGAAAATCCAGTCGAAGAAATTGCACTGGTCGCTACTTCTCCGCAAAGTTTTTTTTTATTTTTATTTTTCTTTAGAGATTGGTCATGGGTTTCAGTCGGGTAATGAGTTGGCATTTAATCAGAAATTGTCTTTTCTTCTTCGAGCTCATTTGTTTTTAAAATGGTTTATCGGCATCTGAGATAACTATAGATAGAAAAAGGATATAGTCCTTTGCCTGGAAACAATACCAAGATTCTAATCCGAGCCGATTGAGTGAAAATTTGTAGAGGGTTTCTATTTCCAGAAATCACAAGTCACCGGGATCTCGGGTTTAAAGGCAATGGCCTTCTCCTAACGGCTAATTACGCCATGTTATTCACTGAGTCTCAGAAACTCTGATGTTCGTTCAGAGTTGTTAAGTTATAAACGATAAATATGATTGAGCATGTGTCAAAAACAGGGATTAGTTAACCGACGAAACAAAAAGGCATATACAGATACAACAAGACTGCGATTACACACAGTCATATATATATATATATATATATATATATATATATATATATATATATATATATAGGTAATGAAAAGTTTGGTAATCCGTATGGATAATCCCAAGGAGGATGTGATCAAGAGAGAACATTGTCAAACCAGAGCGTGATTAAAATTAGAAAACAGAAAACCTTAAGTATCCATTGATTATATTTTATTTCTCCAGGAAGGAGGTTTTTACCTGGTTTTTCAGATCACATTTCCAAGCATAAAAAAAATATGTTTGTAAATGTGATCCGAAGAACCAGGAAAAACCACCTTCCTAGGGATTCGGCTGAATTCGAACTTTCCTCTCCTATTCCGCTATCGATTCATCCACCGTGCCTCACTCACTCACTCTCATATATATATATATATATATATATATATATATATATATATATATATATATATATATATATATATATAATCAGTTGTAGGGATATGAGTTTGTGACAAACTGCTTATTTAATGATCATAATAGTGGAAAAACTGTTTGCATGATTATCGCAAAAGCGTGAACCCCAGGGTCGCAAACTCATATCCATGTAACTGAATGTGTTAGCTCTATCATTATTATTGAGCGCTTTCTATAAATAATGCGCATATAAAAATAATATATATATATATATATATATATATATATATATATATATATATATATATATATATATATGAGAGTATATGTGTGCTTGTGTGTTTGTGTAATGTAATATCAGTGAAATACATTGAATATCCAAAATAACAAAAATTTTGAACGTTAATAATCATAAAAACGAAAAAAAAAATAATTAAATTATTTAGAAATGTAGTCACACTGATGTACACACACATGCACGCGCGCCCACAGAAATTTTTGTGTGTGCGGGCCTGTGTGCATACATAAGAGTGCGTCATCCCCTATTTAACAGTCAATGCCTGAAAAGAAAAAAAAAACGGTACATTTTTAACAAACAATTGTTACGCCGTCAAAGAATACTGCTATGAGGCTGAAAACTTTCTAAAACCAACGGTGTAACTCAGCTTGCACGCTTAACTATAGTTTCCATGGTAATTATTTGAGGATTCTTTTTTTCCTTTTTTTTGCATTTGACAATGATGACATTAATTGGTAATCATGGCCTATCAAAGACACGATATCTGATAATGATTAACAAAGTTAGGGAGTTTTCGCCTGTCACCTCAGTTGACATTGTAGTTACGATTAGATTGCTGTCAGAATAACAAAATTCTATTTAAAATATTTAGTCATATATATATATATATATATATATATATATATATATATATGTTTGTGTGTGTATGTCTGTTTACATATTACATTAAAATAATCCAAAGTTAACTCATTCGAATAGCTATTCCGATTCACAAGTATTACTTGTAGGCCTTGTCACCTCAGAGATATGAACAATATATATATATATATATATATATATATATATATATATATATATGTAGACAGAGAAGAAAGAGAGAAAGAAAGAGAGATGCGAGTACTTGGCATATAAAAATTATTTGAAAGAAAATTTTGGATTTCTTCTTTATTAATGTTCTACAGTCATTAAAAAAATAATTCGTGGATTAATGATTAAAACTAAAATAAATAGACAAAATACGTCTAAATTTTTGAACCAAACTTTTTTTGCTTATATATATATATATATATATATATATATATATATATATATCGTCTGTCGATTGCGTTTAAGCATGAAACAGTCGCGTATAACCGTTGAACTCAATGACATCGAACACGCATAAATATAGTTTACCTTAAAACTATATACCTTAAAACTATATATATATATATATATATATATATATATATATATATAGCAATTCACCGCAAGCAATGCGATAATAACAGTAAGACGCAAGTGTCTATTGACAAGGAATGAATTTAGTTTCTATCAGTAGGGCAACTCTAAAAAAGGTTATGTCTCTACTCCTTTTTCTCTTTCCTTCTCTCTCTTTTCCAGTGCTTCTCTCTCTCTTTCATTCTCTCTGTGTGTCTCTCTGAATTAGTTGCCAAATTTTTCATTTGAAATAATGTCGTTTTTAACAATTTTTCTAGTGCGTATTTTTGAAAATCGAGAATGAAATGCAAGAAAGATAAATAGCCGCCTTTATTATTACTAAATAAAAGAACTGGTAAAAGGAACCTTCTCCCATTTCAGATAGTAGCCTATATATAAATCCCGCTCTAGTAGTAGTGTAATGTGGTTGCTTAAGACATTTGAACTGATTCTAATCGTTCAGTTTTATTTCCTATATCGACATTGTCCCTGACACATGATAAAAAATTAGACTTTAAAGGTATGCTGTATTTACGGGTGGCAGTGCCCAAAATTAGACACAGTGACTGTTAAAATTAAAAGGTTGTCATTGACGTCAGTACCAAGAGTCGATAGTCTATTTAACGCTTCACCGCAATCTTCAGGCCATTCTACTTACCAAATTAATTCATATATACCTGTATGTACAAGGTGCGATAGGTAAATTGTCACCATTTTATAATTTTAATATAGCGCGTGCGCCGTCTTTGAGAAAAAGAGATCGATGACGCAATTCACTTCCTCCAGAAATTTGGAAAAGGCATGCTGCAATTCTTGGCATTCGCTACGGAAGTACAAATATGAAATGAACATTTCAAAGCGTTTGGGTGTCAATCTGATGATAGTCTAGAGGATTTGGAAAGAGTTAGATGAGTCGAATTGTGAGTACGATGGTGTTTTCGGTGATCAACATTGATGCCGGCGATTTAACTCCATTCATATTCCCAAAGGGCTTCAGAATCAACACAGAAGATTACGTCAAGTGTCATGAGAAAATGGTGTTGCCCTGGGTCAAGAGAGTGGCTTCCGGAAGACCCCATGCCTGGTAAAAGTGCTTTGTACCATTCACAATCAGGAGAACACAGCTATGGCTTCTCAGACAATTTCTGCAACCACATCACCCCTTACGTCTTCCCAGACTACACCCCTTTGATTATTACGTGTGGGGCACATTTGATCGAGATAAAACAAAAACCTTGTAACATCAAAGATGAGCTCAAGGCAAGGCTTATAGCAGCATTCAACAACTTAAAGAAGGAGACTGCCCAGAAGAGTTGCGAGAAATTCCGTTGTCGGGAGGCCATGGTTGAACCCAATAGCGATGTTATTGAATAAATTTACTCTTTCGTATTTCAAGATATTTTTGTGGAATTTTGGGAAATATTCCTGTTTAAATAGGATGTCAGTGTTATTTTGATATTTGCGTAATTTAGACGATAATTCATCCATTGTAATATATATATATATATATATATATATATATATATATATATATATATATATATATATATATATATATTTTAATATGTGTGCGTCATTGCAAGTATGAAGCAAATTGCTTGAAAATATAAGATTATTGGATAAGACAAGTAATATCAACTAAAATAAATGGAATGGATGTTGCACACTAAATACGTTCATTGCAGCGGCTAGTAATATCTCTTTGAAATCGTCTCCAGCCAAATAATTCGACAGACGAGACAAAAGAAAATTGTTCGACTGAGAAGGAAAGAGAAAGCCGTGGTCAAACGGCACTGATTTCAAAGCAAAAGACTGGATGTCTTCAGGACACCATTTCCTGTTTGTCTGGCCTGGCTCTCTCGACATATATATCGACACTTGAATAATCTGCTGGTGCAATTTCGATTTTTGATTTTGCATTCGATATGTATGACGTCAGAGCAACTATTATGATATTTAACATAAAATCTCGGATTTTAAAGTTCTTTTCTAAACACGATATTTAACTGCGAAAATAAGTTTCCATCGGATTTGTACTTTCAAAGAAGGCAATGTAATAATAGTCCATTTGATATATTTGAGTGACAAGAAAAAAAAGTAAGTTATCCAAATTACTCTTCAGCCTCTATCATCCCAGCTTCATTTTCCAATATGTCTAAATTATACTTATTTATATTATTGGACTGTTATCCTCAACTTCAATGCCATATTCACAACGTTTCGACCGCTGTACGCTTCGGCCTTCTTCAGGTGACTGGAATTTCGGAACGAACCCTTTATTTCGTCCACTAGGATAGATTGTTCTATTTCCACGTATAATACCTCTTCCAGCTGTCTCAGTTATTTCCATTTTAATTCATCTCTGGTTCTTAACGGCTGTAGCCTGGTATTTAACTCACAAATCCAAGGGTCTAGTCACTGGATCTAATCGACGTCTTTACCATCAAGGACACATGGTCAAGTGGATAAAGAATTTGGTTAGATTTTAAACCAATGAAAGTAGTCAACCCACAAGTGCTGATAACTGGGGAATAATAATTGACTATTGACATAACAGTTGGTTATATAAGTAATTGTAAGCAACGGAGAAGATATCTGGCTCATAGTTGCCCAGAACTAAACAAATTTAAAAAGAAAATTTTCCAGAAAACTTTTCTTGATTGTTTTCAAAAACAAAGGTATACGCAAAGTATTACGAGACACGAGGATTTCTTTGACATCCTTTGAACGGTTGGATGGTCTCCTCAAAGATGAAGAATAGACTCGAGCCAGTGGAAGTATGGTTCTACTGAAGGATGATAATGATGTCAATGACCGAGCGTGTGAGCAACAATGAGGTCTTGGAGAGGATGCAAACAAGGCGGAAGCTTATATTTAACATCAGGAAGAGGCAACTGACATTTCTGGGACGCGTAAGGAGATGGGTAGGTATGGAGAAGCTGATACTCACGTCTCGAATGGCAGGAAAGAGGGACAAGAGAAAGAAACGCATGACATTCCTAGCGGGCTTAAACGGGTGGATGGCAGAACATGGCCTGGGGTAAGTAGTAATGAGACAAAACTTATTGAGAGATATTTACATTATTCAAGGACACATGGCACAGTGGATCAAGGCGTTAATTAGATCTAGTGACAGGACCCATAGCGTGTGAGTTCAATACCTGGTTAAAGCGGTTGAGAAATTGGAGAGTGAAATTAACAGGCGATAACTGATAACTGACATCCATTAGGCATGGCACGTGGAACTAGAAAATTCTACCCTAGTGAGCGAATAAAGGGTTCAATTCGACATTCCAACCACCTGAAGAAGGCCAGAGTGTATAACGGCCGAAACGTTGTTATATATATGTCAGCAAAGATGAGGACAATAGTCCGAATAATGTAAATAGTGTACATAATACCTTATCTCAGAAATATAGACAGATACTGAAGGGCCGAAATGTTGTAATAAATATGGCGACACAGATGAGGACAATAGTTGAATAATGTAAATAGTGTACATGATACCTCATTTCAGAAATATAGACAGATACTGAAGGGCCGAAACTTTGTAATATATATGGCAGCAAAGTTGAAGACAGTAGTCCGAATAAGGTAAATAGTGTACATATTATCTCATCTCTGAAATATAGACAGATACTTATTGAGAGCTACAAGGGATAAGGTGAAGTGGAGAGCTATGATCGCCTACGCCCTGAAAGGACACAACAGATAAAAATAAAAACAACAAAAAATTAGTCCTTGCTGATTTTATTGTTCGATGTATACCCATGTATTTTTCACTATCCTTCATCTGTAGCATATACCCATTACGAGAGTGATCTTTATCATTAATTCTTATAAATTTTCTATAACTGATCTATGCAGGTAGGAATGGCATATTTTTAGTCCCAGATAAGCTGAGAAACAAAAATAAAATAATCTACAAAATCTGTCGTGACATTAACAAAACTATTTTAGTTGCACGGAGGTAAATGTCCTATTTATTTCATTCTACGTTTGCAAAAACTCGTGTCAGTGAAATATCAGCTGGCTTTAATTATGCATACTTTTGTCAAAATCTTGTAAGTAACTTCCTTTACCTCCTCTTCTCCAATATTTCGAGTCTTCTCCCATCAATTTATTACTAGTTATTTTTTAACTTAAATATTTAGCCATACCTACCATTGTGATATCTTCTCAGGTTATAGTTTAAACAACTTCGTCACGATTCTGTTTAAAGGTCGGATATTGTCATCCGCTTTATTCGCTTTCACAACTCCAGGAGATATTGAAAAGTTCATACTGTATCAAATATCTCAATATTTATGAGAATATACCAAAAAATTAAATTTGTTTGAAAAAATCGCTGATAATTTATCAGACATGACTAAAAAGAGAATTTGCTGCTCGGATATATATATATATATATATATATATATATATATATATATATATATATATATATATATATAAATAATAAAAAATGAACTGTAAGATTTGCCATCCGGTGTTCCTATTAATAATTTTCATTTTTAAAAAACAGTTTTCGATACAAAAATTGCTTGTCAATGGAACGGAGCTATGGATTTTAAATTTTATTTTATAATTAAAAAGAAAATTTTAGTTTCTGTTTTGAAAAATGGTAATTCCTGTGTAGCAGTGTAACCATATTTTAAAGTGAAAATAATCATATATATATATATATATATATATATATATATATATATATATATATATATATATATATATATATATATATATCAGGCGATGGGATGTTACTTACCATCGGCTGAAGAAGTACAATTATAATATTGAAACATGAAAGTTTTGTTTAACAATTTGAACATGTTTTTATTATAATGTCTTATAATAAAAATATTTATAATATTTTGCTCTACTTTGTATTGCGCAATTTAACTAAATGCTAAGAACAGTGGGATTTACACCATCTGTATTTTCTCTCATTTGTATATATATATATATATATATATATATATATATATATATATAAGTGTGTGAGTGAGTATAAGTGTACATTGAATACAACATCTATTGGCGACAGTCTGTTTCATGCTTAAACACAATCATGTTCTAACGATTGTGTTTAAGCATGAAACTGGTTGTCATCCCGGATAGTTGACTTAAATGTTTACTTTTACATTTACATGCGCTCTGTAAATGAGATTGAGTAATTTAATCCATATATATAGCATATATTAAAAAAGTATATATATATATATATATATATATATATATATATATATATATATATAATTTCACCCCAAGCAATGCGATAATGGAACTTGGACGCAGATGGCCTTCGTGAGCGAAAGGGAATGAGAAGTCTTTAGCAGAAGGAACTGGAGACACAATTCTAAACAGAAAACAACTCTACTCCTGTTTTCAAACTATAGAAAGAGTGTGAACCAGGTGATTGGGAAACCTATTTATCTCGTTTTTAGCTTACTATTTACAGGACCCATTCAGAAGGTAAACAGTAAGTAACTAAATCACAAGCAGTGAATTGTGATATGTAATAATACCGCAGAAAATTTATAAAGAGAACACAACCCGTGATCAAAAACAAGTAACAATTCAGTGTGTGTATGTGAATCCCTGACACCTCTCTGAACATAGAACTTACTTCCTAGTACAGATGTGTTTTTTTTTATATATCTCCCTATTGTACGATTCCTTCCCAGACGTGCACGACGCAAGCGCACCTCGGTCTATCTCGTCATAGTATATCGAAGCAGACACCGATATCCGGTGAACCGTTGATCTCCATCTCCGACTACAAGGAGCATCAGTTGACATCTTTGATGGTCTATTCTGGCATCAGCTGGCGTGCCATTTACTTCAGATGCTTCTTTTAAGAGGTAAACCACAGTATGCTTTGAGTACAACAACTTTGAAGAGTTTATGCCAAAAAAAAAAGGATACGATTGATATAGAACGCGCTAAGATGGCCGGCGAAAGAAGTTAAATAACTGATGATTCCAAGATTATATTAATTATTTTTGCTTAAAAATATGGAAGATTAGATGGCGAGCAATTGAATTAGATCCTCGTGAATCGATTATATTGTAATCCGCAGTAAGGAGAAAAAAGTGCGAAAGCAGAAAGAATGGATGAAATGGGTGAAGGTTCCAAAGAACAAAACCAAACAAACGAGTGAAAGAAAAGGAAAGAGAGATTAATTTCTTATCGGCTAATAAGAAAGAATCTCAGGTGTATTTTCCTGGCAAAATCTGTGTTAGCTACATTATGATTAAAATATTACAACCTATTGTCAAAACAGTTTGGTTTATATTTACCGAGATTCCTACAGTAGTGTGCCATGCTATGTGAATCAAATTCAATAAACAATCTAATAATCAACATGATTATCTTGTTGAGTGCCGCCCTTCAGCAGACAGCTGAGTTTTTCTTAATAAATATCGCTTATTTTGGCACCTGTCCACAAACAGACATTGATTGAACTCGCCTACAAGTGACATTATCTGCGAAGTAGGTCTGTATTCATTCGAGCTAGGGACAGGCATATTGGTAACTTAGTTAAGAAATTCGATAACTTTTTTACAAAGGAAGCACAGTATCATCTAAATAATATAGCGTTATAAGAGTACCGAAAAAGAAAATGTTAAAATCATCCATTTGAGTATGGATAAAACACTTCAGCAAGCTACCCTCTATAAGTAGAGTGAAAAGTTGTTGTGTTTAAATGTAATATTTTACATATATATATTTTTTCTCCTTTGAGCTCTGGAGATTGAGGAGCAATATATATATATATATAGTAATATAAAATATTAAAACTGATGCACAAAAAGAGCTCAATGTATTACAACAGAGCGAACAAATAGTATTAGACAACAAAATCC